AAGCTTGTCCTCATTTTACTGGAAAACCCAGCCTCTCTAACTGGTCCTGGATCTGGAAAAACCTCCGTTCAAAGTCAGTTCATTTGCACCACGGTATCAATTACCTTTCCTCGTCAGCTTCTCCTTCTGCAGAACGTGCATTAAGAATGTCCTTCAACAATTTTGTCAGAATGAGCCCCTCCTTTCTAACATGGCACTGTGTAAAATTATGGCATCTTCAGCACAAGATTTAACCATTGTATGGATCAATGCTGTATTTTTTTGTTTGATAACAATAATAGCCAAACACTCTCAAGTTGGTTTCAGTTAGTGGCCATCCTTTCCAGGGTTTTCTAGTTACAGAGGACTTGGACATGCATGGCCCTTCTCTTCCTCTGGGGGCAGGCAATCAGGGACCATGTCTGAACGGGTTGATTGGTCTCCCAGGAGGCACAGTGGGGAATCGAACTCCCAACCTCACTTGCCAAGCATCCGTCTCCATCAGCTCTCCATCCAGCTTTTAAGTTTTCTACTTGGTTAATTGTAAACCCATCGTCTGTAATTGTTTTCTTCATCCTACTACCTGGAAAAGTTTTGGGTCAGCTGCCAAGAAATACACCACGCATCCCGGGAAAACCTTGCTGGAAAAGATGGTCAGTTCTTTGGGGTCATCCGGATGCCAGAAGCAAAACTAGAAAGAACCCCCTAGTTCACTTTTGGCCCCTTGTGATTCTGAAGGGGACACCATGTCTTGGGGGCTCCTTCATTGCTCGGCTCTTCATCCGCAACTCTACTGAGCTGGAACACCAGCTGCTGAACTTTGTGCATAGAGGTGACAAGAATCTATGGCAAAATTGGATTGTGCACCATGTTTTCCTCATTCTTTAACCCTACATTTCCTATGGGTTCCTACAAGCTAAGCTTGGAAAAGTTTTTTGTTGGGGGTACTACAACTCCTAGCATTCAGTTGGCCACACTGAGGGGGGGATTATGGGAGCTATCATCCAGAAAGGGGAACTCTGCCCAGATACCTCTGTCAGAAGCAGCTGGCAGGAAATGAGGTCCTGAAGAAAATGGCCCCCCGCTGTTTTCTAGGACGGATTCCTCGCTTTTCAGGCACCGAAAATGGCCGCCGTATGGAGGATCTTCGCTGGACAAGCAGGTATTCAGCCTATTGGAACGCATTGAACGGTTTGCAATGCGTTTCAATGTGTTTTTTCATTTCATTTGACAGTGTTTTCGCTCTACAGCGATTTCGCTGGAACGAATTAACATCGTCAAGCGAGGCACCACTGTACTTAATAAGCCACTGCTTGTATTCCTTGTCACATGCCAAGTCACACAACTGGTGTGCAACCAGGAATACAAGTGGCGACTCATTAACTAGGATAATTTGCTGTTGCTTTTTTTAGCCATTGCACCTAACACTGGCTTAAATAATTAGCAGGATTCTAGCCACGCTGTAGTTTGACGAATGATGGAGGCTGGAATTCATTGCTGTGCTTCAGGCAGCCAAATATGTCATGCGGACTCTGCCAAGGGTACCATACAGGACTGAAAACAAGAGAAAGAACAGGAATAGGAAGGAGCCATCGGCTGAGGTAGTAGAGCAGAAGGGTTGCTCTACTGGATGATGAAACTGGTTATCTGGGTGTATTTTTTGTCTCTCAGAGACCATTGGGCAATATAGCCAATGTGGTGAAGTGGGTTAGAATGCTTGGTTAAGGTAACTGGAGAGCCAGATTCTCTCCCCGACTCTGTCATGAAGCTCACCATGGGTCAGTTGACATTCCCCGGACTACCTTGTGGGGGTTGTTGTAAGGATAAGATAGGGTATGAATAATCTATGCTATCTGCTTCCTAAGAGGACATGTGCAATAAGCAATAAGAATTAGAGTAAGAATAGACAACTGGGAATATTTAAACATGGTGGCCTAGAGCTATTGAGGAGCGTTTCAGCAGTTACTAATTATTTCTCTTGTCTTTCCAAGAGGTTAGTGGGCAGAACTAATGAACCCATATGGTCAGCTGTTAGCTCTGAGATTCTGGAAGAATTTTCTCCAATTGTTATGGGGGGGGGAGGGAGAGACTGGGGGCGTCACATGCCCAGTAAAGCAGTGGGTCTTCCAAGTATATCTGCACAATACACAATTATGTCCGTTTGCTATCGCTTCAGCAGTCACAGATCTATCCTAATGGAATCTTGGAATGTGTAGCGTAGCAGTGTACTGCAGGTTCTCGGCTAGCGCTCTCTACTACATTACCCTAAACGACAGCACTAGACAATTCTACAGATCTCCACAAATTGCAAAGTGGGGGATTCCAGAAGACAGAGCCATGGCAGGTAGCAAACATGTCATTGCGTGGTGCAGCTAAACCTTTAATTCCCACAGATCCTGAAGGTGATTTTCAATTTTTTTCTATGATAACAACCATGTTTTTTTTTTAAATCTATATTAGCTTGGTCTTGCTTGCCCATTCACAGCTTTCTTGGGTCCCCTCAGGTAACCTTGGTTTCCAAAGATAGCTTGTGAGAGAATATTTTGCCATGACAGTCATTCCATTCAGAGCAGCTGGGTGATTTTATGAGACATATCCTTAGGACCTCTTTGGAAAAAAAATGGTATCATTTCTCATCGGGGAGAATATGTTTCATTATATTTCGGTTTCCTGACTCCTAACAAAACACAGAGGAGGAATAAAACTGAGGCAGACCCCGGGGAGTGAGTAAGCAGGGAGAGCTAACAGGAGTTTGATGGGGCTGTTTGGTGGAGGGAGACCAATGAGAAGGTCCCTAACAATATTTTTGGTTTCCAGATATAGTTATACTGTATATTAGTGGACTTTCTCAGATCCTTGAAGGCAGACAAGACAACGAAAAGGCACTCAGAGAAAAAGAAGTAAATAAAAAAGGTAAGAGGGATTATGGAGGGAAGAGATACTGGCGACCTGCAAAGTGTTTGTCTTCATGCTGAGAACAACACAGCATAGAGATACACCAAGTGCAAACTGGTAGCACCGTTAGAAGAAAAAGTGAAAGAACTTGAGCAGCAAGTGTCCATGGCTTAAGGCTAAAAGAGAAGATGAAGAGGACAAAGACGTAAATCTCAAGCAGCAGCTGCAGTCCTGTGGCTGGAAGAACAGCCAAACAAAGCAGAGGAGGAGAATGGTGTCAACAAACATAGTGCAGGAAGCACTGTGGGAAAAGAGCTGCAGTTAGAAGCAAAAGAAGGAGAAGACACTCTTCGCCAGTGGAATTGATGTCATTGGGAACATCTGGATTAGGGTGAAAAACAAATGGAACATGGTAGTTGGAGTCAGAACATCTGGATTAGGGTGGAAAACAAATGGAACATGGTGGTTGGAGTCTACCGTTGACTGCTCAATCAAGGAGAAGATGTGGATGAAAACTTTGAAAAACAAGTCACACAAATTTCAAAGAGACATGATGTAGTAGCAACGGGAAATTTCAATCATACTGATATCTGCTGGGAGGCAAATTCTGCCAAATATCGTCCCTCCAAGACATGCTTGGCTTGTGTTGCTGATAGTTTTTCCTCCAAGAAGTGGTGGAAGAAACTAGAGGAGTAGCTATCCCGGATTTGATTCTAACCAATAGAGATGATTTGGTAAAGAAGTGACAGTAAGGGGAATTCTGGGGGTAAGTGACCACATTTGACTTGACTTCCTGATTTCAAAAGAAACAAAAGCAGAGCGCTGGATTATAGGAAAGCCAATTTTAATAAACTTGGGGCAGTGGTAAGTAAGGTACCATGGCAGGAGATCCTAACAGGAAAAGAAGCCCAAGATGCATTAAAGTTTTTAAAATGGAAATTCTAAAGGCACAATTCAACAAGAAAAAGGTGAAAGACAGAAAAAAACAACAACGTGGCTTCACAAAAAGCTCAGAGAGGAAGGTGAAAGACAGAAAAAACAACAACAACGTGGCTTCATAAAAAGCTCAGAGAGGACTTGGAAATAATAATAAAAAAGACACATATAAGACGTGAAAAGATGGCCAGGCCACAATGGAAGGATACAGACAAATAGCAAAGAATTGCAGGGATGGCATTAGGAAGTCAAAAGCTGAGAATGAGCTGAGGTTAGCAAGAGATGCTAAAAGCAACAAAAAAGTATTCTTCAGGTATGTGTATAGCAAAGGACAGAGAAAAGAGATAATAGCTCAACTACTCAATGGGGATGGGAAAATGATAACAGATAACAAAGAAAAGCCAGAAGTGCTTAATTTCTATTTTAGCTCAGTCTTTTCCCAAAAGACAGTTTATGACCCTCCAGGCAAATGTGAAGTATACATGGAGGGGATAAGAGTGCAGCTTGAGATTGTTGAACAAATAGTTAAGGAACACCTTCTTATTTTGAACAAGCTGAAATCTCCCGGGCCAGATGAACTGAATCCAGGACTATTGAAGGAATTGGCTGAAGAATAATCACTGTCCCTTATTTTCTTGAAATCATGTAGGATGGATAAAGTGTTGAATGATTAGAGGAAGGCTAATCTTGTCCTTCTCTTCAAAAAAGGGCAAAAAGGAGGAATCTGGGAACTACTGACCAGACAGCCTGACATCAACCCCAGGTCATGCTTAACCTTGAAAAAAGAAGATTGAAGGGAGATATGAGAGCACTCTTCAAATACCTGAAAGGCTGTCATATGTACAGAGGAGGAGCAGGATCTGTTCTCAGTCATCATAGAATGCAGGACACGTCATAATTGGCTCAAACTATAGGAAGCCAGATTTCCACTGAATATCAGGAGTAACAGTTAAGTGTCTTAACTGTTAGAGCAGTACGACAATGGAACCGATGATCTTGCAAGGTGGTGAGTGCTCCAACGCTGGACGTGTTCCAGAGAAAATTAGACCATCGTCCATCAGATATGTTTTGGTTTGGATTTCTGCATTAAGCACAGAGTTGGACTCGATGGCCTCCTAGGACCTTTCCACCTCCAATATTCTAGGATTCTAGGATATTTGTGTATACACATAGCATTTATTAACCTGTGTGTGAGGGAAGTGCCATTCAATAAATAAAACATTTAAATTCCCTGAGTCTTGACATTATCATTATGTAGTTCATGATCATATCCTGTCACCATTTTTTTTAATCATATCATTATTATTTATTGACTTAAATATATAGAGAGATTTATATATATTATCTGGAGCTTCCCCCACCCCACCCCGACTCCCCACGTTTCTAGTCCTCAGTTTTTGCTTTTGATTTTCTGTTTGCCCGAAATATAGGGCAGGACGGTCTGAGTGCTTTTGTCCGACACGGTCTGAGTGCTGCTGTTGCGCATCAGCTTCCTTTGCTGAGCGCTACTGAGGTGAGGCGACCGCCACGGCGTCGTCTTGGTGACGGGCCCGCCCTTGTGAGCCGCCTCACCCCCGGTCTCTTCTGGAGGGTCCTCCGGCAGCGGGCTGCTGTCTGCCTCTTCGTCGTCATCACAGCACAAAGCGTGATAGAGGACTTTGTCACTGAACCGCACCCGTTCCCTGGTGCCTGGCGTCCTCTGAGTTTTGTGGCTCAGGGCTGAGCTGAAGGCCTCCTCGCTGGAAGAGTCTGGGGTCCCCACTCGGGGTCCATTGGGGATCAGCACCCCGCCGTTCATGAGCCGGTAGTCGGGGTTAAGCCCCTGTTGCTGCTGCTGCTCGGAGCCATCGCCAGAATCCGACGGAGTGGAGGCTTCTAGGAAAGAACAGAACTCCCAGCTGTCAGAGAGGATGTCGGAGGTCATGAAATCCAGGTGCCCGAGGTCAAACATGCCACCTCCTTTCTCGCTGCTGGATGTGCTGCTCACTGTTGCCGTTGTCCAGTCATCGGGTTCCAGTTCAAACTCAAAGTCCGAAGTCAGTTTGTCGATCTGGCTCACCACCTAGGAGAAAGAGAAAGGGTCCATCAGGAAGAGTCCTGCAATAGCTTTGGTCGTCCCCACCAGCTCCTTCCACCCACCATCCGGTGTGCTGGGCCCACAATGCCCAGTTTAATCCACTTGTCTCTTTTCCCAGACCATTGGCCGTGGCTAATATGAGGGGCTCAGGAACTCTGCCAGTGAGAATGTCATGCCTTCTTAGAAGTGGTAAGAGAGGTTATGGGGTGGCTGGACAGGGGGCCACCGATGAACGTTTCCTTGGCATCCAAGTAGATGTTTGGACTGCCATTCCCAGAATGCCTCAATCAGCACGGCCGTTCCAAACAACCAGCATGGCAACCCAAACAAGTACATTTCTGTGTGAAATAAGGAAAGAGCTAGAGGCCATCTATTCGTCTCCTTGATGAAGGGGCTACTAGTTGCACACACCAATCACAGTCTTTTGCAACCCAAAGCTATGGTGTGGTTGTACTACTGTAAAAAGGCATGCAAACACAGCAAATGCCGCTATGGCGTTCAGATACATAGCCAACGTCCACCAGTGAATGGCCAGATCTCCTCCTCTCACCTCGAGGCTCTTTTTGTTGTTTTTGGAGTTAGAGTATGATGGATTAGGATAGTGGTTCCCACTCTTGAGTCCCACAACTCCCAGAAATCCTGGCCAGCACAGCAAGTGGTGAAGGCTTCTGAGAGTGGTAGTCCAAAGACCTCTGGATCCAGTGTACTAGACTATCAGGAGAACTAGGTTCAGATTCACAGCTCAACCACGAAACTCGGGGGAATCTATTTCACAGGATCATTCTGTAGGGTTGGTGTTGGTAAGATACACCACCTTGTACTCCATAGAGGAA